CCTGTTTTCTTTGAGTTTATTTAAGAATAGGAGTAACACCTTTACTGCCAGGCCCGAGAATTGAATGAAGAAGGTCTTCGAGTAAAAACACATTCCTGCGTTTCATATATATCTAGATTTATAGAAATAAAAATAATCTATTGGAGCCTATTTTTTCGTTTGACTATATGTGAGACAGCGTGGTGGAATCAGGCTCTCGTCAAAATAATCAAAGTGAAGAAACGCGCATTTTTCCGCGGGAACACAGCGGCGTCTTCAAAATCACTGAGGCATTGTCTATAGCTTTGTTCACTTTCCTCTGACAGCAGTAAAACAATTCTAGCTCATTGACAAATTTACCAATGCCCGCGGAACTTTGCATGGCGCTTCTACAGGCTAGCGACCAAACAAAAATATTTAGAAAAAAATCTTGACCCAGTAATTAAAGAGCCTTTTTCTTTGGCCCTATATTAAAAACAACTCTTTGGAATCATACACAGGATCACGTTCTATAGGTAAGTCTCGAAAATTACTCACCCCGTCTCTTGAATCGTGTTTCTTAGGCGAACGTTATAGAGCGGTGATGAACTTCCGTCGAGAAGGAGAGCTACGCAGATTTGTTTCGCTTCTAAGTAAAAAAAAAAATCACAAAGGCCAAAGAAGGACGGGAATCTTTCTAAATTCAGGAAATGAATAAATCTAAATCGGGCTCCGTCATGGGGACCTATCTATCTTTTTGCAGGTACTTGCGAACTTTCAACTCTGTAGCTGTCGTAGTTTTATAGGAAAAGTGACACATGTGCTACCAAGTTGCCAAATATATAATAGATATTATGTTTGTGAAAGTTCGTCACTTTGGTAACTTAAAACTTCCGAACCACCTAACTTTGGAATTTGAAAAAAAATTAAAGGTCGTTCCGAATCATTTAAAGGGTGCACAGTTATACTAAGGAGTCTGAAGTCTCAGTAGTTTAATTTTCAGTTTTTCATTAGTTTCGTTTAGATCTAATCTTGGGAAAGTCCGTCTTCTAAGACGCCATTGTATGTAAACAAGTGAGAATTCTATTCACCAGCAGTGCGAACTATTACCCCAATGACTAGACGATCGGTTCTTTTGAGTCCGTTCATTGAACGGTGTACCCAGATAGTTTTTAAAAATATAACAATAAATCTAATGAATTTAAGTTCTTGCACCGTCAAAATTTAATAATATTTTTGTGCTCAATGCGGGCACGGCAGTGGTAGCACCATAGCCAATGGCGTATTAACTGAGGCGTCGGTACTGCTTCCGGTGGGCAGTGGGTGAAGTTACCAGTGGGGTGAGGAGTTGGGAATGTGAGGGGACGAGACAATGGGGGTGAGGAGTTGGGAATGTGAGGGGACGAGACAATGAGGGTGAGGACTTGAGCTATGGTATGGGAGGTGGGGTAGGGTAAGGATGTTGGAAAAGCGAAGATGTGTTTTTCATGGGGGGTGGGGGGGG